AAGGTCATTTTGTTCCAATTATCTCCAATAATTTTTATACTATAGATCTCCTATGCAATTACTCACGTTTTATTTGCATTTTCATTTCTAGATGGCTTCTCTGTGATTTGAAACAGGTCCTTTGTTACTTTATTTTCCTCTTTAAAATTTGAAGTTACTTCTTGTTTTTCATCATCTCCTGAGCTTTCTGATTCCTCTAATGAGGAATCCTTTTGCTGGAGGGAGAGAAAATTATTTAAGCATTCCACTGACTAAATATAATCAGTGATTTAAAACTATAGTTAAGAATCACCAGAAAGATAGGTAACAGTTTTTTCACTCAAATAATACTGTAATAAATGTGAATAGATTGCTGAAATGCCTTAGTGTGAAATCCTAGCTTTAACAGTTATCTGGAACAACCCATTCAAGAGTAGTCCGCAATTTAAGAATTTTCTTGAACTCACAGTTCTTGATCAAACAGGTGACAGCTGTGGCCTAGAGCAGTGGTCCCCAGTCTTTTGGGCACCAGGGACCGATTCCCGTGAAGAAGGGTTTTGCCACAGAGCAGAAGGGACATGGTTTCATGTGCTCCCTACATCCTGCAGATGGGGCTTTGCTTGTTTGCACAGCCCAATTCCTATCATGCTGCGGACCGGTGCCGGTCCACAGGCCGGGGATTGGGGACCTCTGGCCTAGAGGGCCTTTTCCCAGTTTCATTTGGTGTACCAGTTCTGCTCTTTCTTTGATCAGGAGACCCTTAGGTCAATTGTTCATGCTCTAGTCATCTCGTGACCTGACTACTACAATATACTCTATATGAAGCTGCCCTTGAAAGCAACTCAAAAGTTCCAATAGGTCCAGAATTCAATAGCACAGACAGCAATAGTATTCCCATGTGACACATCTTTTTAAATTGCACTGGTTGCCTCTATGAGTCCAGGTGCGATTACAGGTACTAATCCTACAGATAGGACATATAAAGCCCTACATGGCAAAGGGCCAGGTTATTTGAGGGACCACCTATCTCCTATAGTTTCTGCCTGGTCAGTTGATGCTGATAGACTAGACATGCTCCAGACCTCTTCAGTTAAATAGTGCTGTTTATCAAGCCCTAGGAAGCATGCCTTCTCTGTCACAGCATTTACCCTCTGCATTGAGATCTCCCCTGAAATCCATATGGCTTGTTAGCATTTTATAAGGTCTTGAAAAACTTCTCCCAAGTCTTGAGTTAAGATGGAGAGATTCGGACTTCCGGTGGCAGGCGACTTCGCTGGACGCAGCTGTTTGCTGCTCCCGCCTGTTTCTGCGTAAAAGCCGTTTTGACAGCCTGCATCAGCTGTCAAACGGCTTGATACCTTTCCCCTGGGCATAGGGGGATAGGTGAGCTGCCCGAGGTAGGAGTTGAGTTCCCGAGTCGTCCTTTGTGGACGATGTAGGTGAGAAC